GAGTAATCCACTACAGATTAAAGAATCGAAATTACAACATCGCATTTCATTGACTGCTAAACTCAGCAAGGTTCAAACAAATTCCCAAGGCTAAAGCAGATCTGAGCCAAAATTAATCGATCTCATCGAAATTAATGTAGTGAAGAACTAACCCAGGGCTACAAATACAAATAGTAAATAAATCCGCAGGACCAGTATTTCAACTTCAAAATAGATGTTCCAGGTATTAACAATAACAGCACAAACGACCAATTCAAAATATACGCCAAAACCTTGTGTTGGTTAGGAGGGGGGCGGAGAAGAAACGGAATTATAACGTAATCAATTCGCAAGGGATCAATAACGCTAGGGTAAATTGGTTTAAGGGGGGGAAAGCTAAATTATGAAAATGCAGATCTGAAAAATGAGCACTAAATACGAATTGTTGTACAATTAAAAGAAAACGATTAAATTGTAGAGTAGTACTTTCGTCGTCGCGATCGTCGTCCTTCTTCACGAGAGGCTGAGCCATTTGGGGATAAGTGAGATCTGTGGAGATTCAATTGAGAGACTAAAAATTACAGAGCTCGATTTATTCAGTTGAGTACAACTGAACACACGTACATAAGCAGATATATGAAGGGAATTTGCAGATCTCTTCGCTTCCGCCTTCTCTCTTTTCTGTATACTTATATATCGGCTGGGAGAGTGAAGTCGAATCGCAGATCTCTGTTTGGTCGACGTCGTACAAATTAGTTTCCCTGGACAGTAACTTTTTTTTCTTTTTTTTGAAGGAATTGGACAGTAACTTAATGAAGAAGTCAAATTAGTGGATGAGTTCAAAAAAAGTTTCGATAGTGGATTATATAAGGGATAATTTCAGATACCTCCCCTGAGGTTTCTGACAGTCTCACTCCCCTCCCCTGTGGTTTTAAAAATACCACTAACCTCCCCTGTCAGAATTTTATATCCATTTCTTACATCATCATGGTGAAAAAGACTTAAATACCCTTACAAGTTTGTTAATATTTCGTTCAGCATAATCATCATGAATGCTGTTAAAGGCACCTTCAAGATGGGGGCCTATAAAATGCTCTCTGAAGTTTCACCGTTTATCCAATTCAAGAATTTTACCTCCAATTAGGCCTTTCTTGAAGCCCTTGATGATGCAGCAAATATTCACATTATAGACTTTGATATGGTGCAGCCACCACACCCACCGTCTATTCCCTTCTTCATACTAGTACACTAGTCTGTTGACTTGTGGGAGTATTTGGGTTTTGTGAAGATGTCTCTCCTTTCGGATCTCATTAACTTGGATCTTTCTGAATCCACGCAGAAAATAATTGCTGAATATGTTTGGATCGGTGGATCTGGTATGGACATCAGAAGCAAGGGCAGGACTTTAGATGGACCAGTTAATGATCCTGCTCAGGTTCCCAAGTGGAACTACGATGGTTCAAGCATTGGTCAAGCCCCTGGTGAAGATAGTGAAGTGATCTTATATCCTCAGGCAATATTCAAGGATCCATTCAGAAGGGGCAACAACATTCTTGTTATGTGTGATGCTTACACTCCTGCTGGGGAACCTATTCCAACAAACAAGAGGTACAATGCTTCAAAGATATTTAGCAGTCCTGAAGTAGTTGCAGAGGAACCTTGGTATGGAATTGAGCAAGAATATACCTTGCTGCCGAAGGAAGTTAATTGGCTTATTGGATGGCCGGTCGGAGGATATCCTGGACCACAGGGACCATACTATTGCGGGGTTAGAGCTGACAAGGCTTTTGGTCGTGACATTGTTAACTCACATTATAAAGCCTGTCTCTATGTCGGCATTAACATAAGTGGCATCAATGGAGAAGTTATGCCAGGGCAGTGGGAGTTCCAAGTTGGTCCTGCCGTCGGCATCTCTGCTGGCGATGAGCTTTGGATGGCTCGCTACATTCTAGAGAGGATAACTGAAATTGTTGGAGTGGTCCTCTCTTTTGATCCAAAACCCATTCAGGGTGACTGGAATAGTGCTGGTACTCATAATAATTACAGTACCAGGTCGATGAGAAGTGATAGAGGATTCGATGTTATAAAGAAGGCTATTGAAAAGCTTAAATTGAGGCACAAGGATCATATTGCTGCTTATGGAGAAGGCAATGAACGACGTTTTACTGGGAAGCATGAAACAGCAGACATTAACACCTTTTCTCATGGGGTGTAGCAAATCGTGGAGCCTCTGTAAGGGTTGGCAGGGACACAGAGAAGGCTGGCAAAGGTTATTTCGAGGACAGGAGGCCTGCTTCAAACATGGATCCTTATGTTGTGACTTCCATGATTGCAGAAACAACCATTGTGTGGAAGCCATGAGGCTTAAACCATTTTCTGCTGCATCATGGATTTATTCGCATTCTTGAACGCTGGAGTCATTTAGATGAAGTGTACGCTCTTATCATTCTTATATATCAGCTTCATTATCCTTTGTCTGTGTATGCCAATAATCTGACACAAAGCAATGGAATTTATTTAGTCCAATGGTCGGTTGGTCCCGGACATATGATTCTTCATAGGATTAGCTCATATGAGATTAGCTCATTAATGCAAGATAATAAGGGCATTTGTGGTATATAGTTGTTCCTCTCTCCAGTTTCCCATTTTTTTATTGTTTGTATTTTTTAATTGGGTCTACTTTGAGACTGCCTATTTAGTTTTAGGGGAAGTTAGTGGTATTTTTGAAACTACAGGGGAGGGGAGTGAGATTGTTAGAAACCTCAGGGGAGGTATCTGAAATTATCCCATTATATAATTTAGCCCATTAAAAAAAAGGTGAAATTAAGGAAACTAGTCTGGTCAAACTCGGGTCTTGAGTTAAAAAAACTTAGACTTAAATTTGAATTCAAACTAATGAACTCTTGAAAGTTAGACTCGAGTTTGAGTTTGATTTATTTTGCATTACTCGAACTCATGCTTATCGAGTCCAATCGAGTTTAAGAAATATAAATTTATATGTTATATAATTTTAAATAAGGGACAAAATAGACATTTCATACTAATAAATTAAAAAATTTAAAAAACATATATATGTGAATCTCGATTAAACTCAACGACTTCCGAGTTTCACATATTAAATTCGAATTCAACTCTTCAAATAGTTCGAACTACTCAAACTCAAGCTCAAACTATGTCAATGCTAGTTTGACCTTGAGTCTTGACCAAACAAACTCGCGAGTTACTCGATTAAACTCAAGTCATTTGCATCCCAAAATAGAAGATTTATTATAGTACAAAATTAGAGAAATCGGCTATGTATTGTGTGAGTAAAACCATTTATCTTGAGAAACAAATAAAAGAGATACCAAATGTATTTTATAAAAGAGATAACAATTTTCTTTATTACTGGACGAAATATAACCTTATATTTGTATGAGCTTCTACGGTTGTTTTTATCTTGCAATGGACAATATTTTTCTCAATCAGAGACAAATTGAGTATTTATTGTTGGTAAGAAATTTTTGAATATTTTTTTTAAAATTGTTGTTACGTTAACCTCGATAATGAGAATATGCATAACATAACAGATTCAGTTCTAACACGTTGAAACGCGTTTGATAATAAAAAAAATTAAACAACTGAATTAATTAAGTGATACTGAATCTTTTAGGCGAAACTTGCTTCCAAAAAATAAGTGATAAGATATTCATTTATTATTTAATATGATATATACTCAAATATATTAGATTTACTACTTAACAATTCAATAATTTAATGATTTCAGATTTCAAATTTTAGATTTCAATTTGAGACTTCATTTTTATCATATGCACCAATAGTTTCATCTTAAAAGGGTATCTATTCCGAGTAAATAAAATATTCCTGGTTACAATACACATGTTAAAGTGTTGAACAATTAACACTCGACCTGAATTGACGACTAAATACTACTGCAATCATTTAACAAACACTTCAAAGTTTACCTATACTTTGTACTATTCATCGTCTATGGGAAATGAATAATTTTCCCATTTATAAGTATAGGCATTCTCATGTATAACTATACATAACAAAGTTTTTTTTTTTTTTTTTTTGGTTGGCAAAACAAAAGCAATGATTATTTGATAACGAAAAGATATCATAATTACTAAAAATTGAATAAAATGTTTAGAAGATTGGTAATTAAAGAGATGAGACATGTATGTTTACCTGAAGAATGAAATTTATTCATCAAATCCATTATTGCCTCGTTCTTTCTTAAGCTCAAAATCTACCAAGAAGCATACAATAGTGAAGCATAATTCGGAATTGCTCATAAGCATTTTGAGGAATGGTTTTATTTGTTTGCCGTTAAGAATATATACCAATTAATTAACAGCCCACAAACAGAATGAATTGAAGGTGGCAGTGGCACAGCGTACCTATCTAGAAAGATTTTTGAGACGCAACCGCGGGCAGGATGTCCGTCCAAGATGGTGATCAATTTTCCCGTTAATATTATTTAAAAGATGATAATGGGACTTTCATTAGGACTGAATTTTTGTGACTACAAGGCAGCCTAAGGCTTATTTTGTGATTCATTTTGACAAGATAATGGTTGTTTTATAATTTGGAGATGAAATCATGAACTTGGATGGCTCAAGCCAAAATACAAATCTGCATCACCTGACACAAAAGGGGGGAAGAAACAACTATTAAAGGAATGAGTTCTGTTTGTTATTTCCTCCATTTTGACAATTTTGTCATAGTTATGCGGCCAGATCAAGATAAGAAGGGCGCATACATAATAAAGTTACTGTCATCCCTGAACAAATTCACTAACAAATATAAAAAACATCGTTTATACATTAAAGAAAAGATTTGAATCCACATTGATCAACCAGAACCCAGTACTGTGATGCAAAGATGAGCACAACGTCAGTGAACATAAATTCAAAACTATTACAGCTGCATATCGGTGCCTTCACTACCATCCGAACATACTTTGGGATGGTTTTTTTTTTCTTTTGGGGGGGGGGGGGGGGGGGGAGTTGTTGGGGGTGTGTCGTCAGCATTGTAAATGAGTTCATAATATTGACTATAACTAAATACTTCGTAATGCATTAACGTTGTTCTGTAAAGATTGAATTTTTGGGAAAACTGGGGATCTCCTTCTCCTCCTTCTCACGAACCAGGGGATTTGGGAATGTAGGTTTATCGATTCAAGGTGTGTGGCTTCGGCTCCTAGTCCTGGGATGGATTTCTTGTGATTCACCACTAGAATGGGCGTACTCCCCATGCTCGCTACTTGTGAATTCTTGGCTAGACAATCCTGTCTTCTTCATGAACTTTTTTAGGTCAGTGTGGTATGAGCTATCGTACTCAGAACTGCTACTGGAGCCAAACAATGCACTGTGTCCAGGTTTCACTCCTTCATTTAGATCTTCCAGTGATACATCGCCTTCCAGTGCACGAACAATCTGGACATTCATATAAATATATATAGATCAAATCATCAGTTGGATTCTTCCAATTACTTGATCATCTGTGCGTAATCTCAAGTACGATTAAAATGAACCTGGCTCATTTTTGGACGTCTCCTTGCAGAATGTCTGATGCATGCAGCACCACAGGCAACCATACGCATCATCTCCGAAGGATCATATTTGTCTCCCAAATTTGGATCCACCAATTCTTCAAAGCTTCCACCATCTATCACTTTCCCCAGTATAGGTCGTGCCTGCGTGAACCAAGAAAATGACGTACTCAGATAGCGGGTATGAATCTTGGACACTTTTCATTGTTGTCATTTCTACTTCATTTAGGTACGTGTAAGAAATTCATACAATTTTTAAGATCACCATTTTCTATTGTACCAACTTTTATCCTGTAGACATATACATAATCAAAGATTGAAAGTAGAATTGTTCATACCCAGTCAACTAAGCTATCGTCATCACTGCTGACATCCACAGGGCGTCTTCCAGTAATAAGCTCCAGGAGCACAACTCCGTAAGAGTAGACATCAGATTTCTCAGTGAGCTTCCCGCTTGCGGCGTACTCAGGAGCTAAGTACCTGCATTTTTAGATCCATTAATTTTCGCTCGCAATTCACCAAATTAAGACATTAACCATAATGCATCGCAATGCCTACAAAGGGCCGGGTTTTTGATTAAGTATAGTTTGTAGTTTATAAAAGAGCTCAATCAAAATTGCTTACCCAAACGTTCCCATGATGCGGGTTGAGACGTGTGTGTAATTATCAGAAGAAAGCTTAGCCAGGCCAAAATCAGCCACCTAATTAAATGATTATGAAAAAAAGTACCATTATTTATAGGTGACTCGTCCATCGTACTCGCAATGCAGAGAGGAAAAAAGATATGAAGTATAACCATCAATACTCAAGATACCTTAGCTTCAAAGTTATTGTCAAGTAAAATGTTTGCTGCTTTAATGTCTCTGTGGATAATGCGAGGGTGGCCTGAAAATGGCAAATGGATCAGTCAAGACTTGAAATTATTAAGCGGCCAAACATTTAACAAGGAATTTGAGGTCGCTAGCAACTAGCAGCACAGTCCTCCAACCATGCAGAGAGAATAAGCATGACAACTTACAATCTTCATGCAGGTAAGCAAAACCTTTGGCCGATCCAAGTGCAATTTTGATCCTAGATGGCCAGTCCATGACAGGGCGGCCGGGTCCTGCAATATTCACGAATATATTACTAGTGAATCACACATATTCTTGATCATGAATCCTTCTTGCGGGCCATTCTTCTTGTTGTCGCTGTTCTTCTTCTTCTTCTTCATATATATTTATATTAAAGAGGGGAGGTATAGAAACAAGCTATAGCTAATGGGCATTCTGTCATGAACTGCGACTCTTATTTTCAAGAAAAAAGAAAAGAAAAACTGAAGCTCAAAGGTTCGCGTGCGGACCAAAGTAAGAACCAAAAACAATTAATAATTGCATCTACACAAACTTATTGCATTGGGGTAAAGAGTGTGTATTTGTATATTTAGCAGACAATGAATGCAAGTCTATTTGCGACCAAAATACAAAATCAAAGCAAATAAATAAAAGATGCAAGCGTACCATGAAGGTGATACTCAAGTGTATTGTTGGGAACAAATTCGTAAACCAGCATCCTTTGTGATCCGGCAATACAATATCCAACGAGAGACACCAAATGGCGGTGATGGACTCGACTGATAATGTCGACTTCGGCTTGGAATTCCCTCTCCCCTTGCCCACTGTTAGCTTTGAGACTCTTCACCGCTATTTCCTTCCCATTTGGCAAGACTCCCTCGTGAACGAAGCCAAACCCACCCTGTCCTAACAAATTAGCATTGGAGAATCCTCCCGTCGCGGCTGCCAGATCACCGTAAGTAAAGCTGCTCTGGGCGAACCCGAGAGCAATGGCAGGGTGTGGCGGTGGCACAGGTGGATTGTGCGGGCCGGAATAAGCTGCCGAGCTCATATCGCTGCTAACCATAGGTGGTGGGGGAGGTGGTGGTGCTATTGGCCACCCGTGCTCTGAACTCACGTTGGTGCTTGGGGGCATCTTAAGAACATGGTCTTGACTGTGGGGATGGTTTTTCCAGTTCCCATGTTGCCCGCTGTAATAATCACCTGCAACAATATAGTGGCTCTCGATTTGATTAGCAATGAAACCGCTGTTCTACTACTGTCCACATCACTTTTCTTATTGTTTTTTAGGAGTAATTCTTTTGTCCTGTTTCTCGTTTTTCATTTTTCAATGAATGATGTTTGGTCATCAACTAATAAGAAATTTGGGACCAAGAATTATTCTTTTCCTAAAAAAAGAAACCATCATTCAACCAACCAAAATCCACAGTGCAAACTAGTAATTCTCTTTTGAAAAAATGATTTTCTTATTCTTTTAATCATACAGATATAAAGTGATTGAAATCCAAAGTGCTAAAAGCAAGCTTTGCAAAAAAAGAAAAGCTTTGACCTCTCCTAAATTTCTCAATATGATTATTTTTAAAAAATGATTTTAATGTAACCAAGATATATATGAAAAACACAATAAGCTTGATCAGAATAAAACAAGCTTCATTTAATTTCATATGATGGGAAAAAAAAATTAACACCATATAATACACCTTTTTGTTCCAAATACATAAGTTTGATGCATTGATAATTTATAGGTACCATGAGTTAGAAATAAACCGTAAAGATCTTGGCATTCCCTATAATAAGTCTATGATTCGAAATATGTAAATGTCTAACATCTTTCTCTTTATTTCAAGGTTGACAATTTTTATTACAAGTCTCTTGGCAAAATATAAGCGAAAACTAGGAAATTGTTCAATAATTTCGTTCTTTGCACGGATATGGTTAATAGTAGAGCATATATAGTTACGCCCTTTGGATGCATGCAAAAATATGCTTAATTTTTTTTTGGGTAAATCCTTAACGAGTTGGTTCCAAAGCCACTTTGCCCCCTAATTCATTTTTGAGCATTTTACTCCCAACAACACTGATGGTCAAAGCTAACGGAGAGATAAAAGGACAAAAATATGCGCTCATATTAGTAGTTATTGGATTAAAATATCCATGACAATGAGATCCAATTTTGCATTTTCTTCAGAAATGATTACGAAAATGTTAGAGAAAAATATGTTACATTTCACGTGACCAATAAAATTATTTTTTAAAAAAGGAAACAATAAAAAGGTCCGCATATATACTTGACTTCAATACTTGAAAAAAAATTATCTGCTTTAGAAAATTTGTTTTAAAAAAAATTTTTGGTTAATTTTTTGTGTAAAAAATTTCAATAAGTAACACCACAAAAATGTTACCAAAATTTGAAGCAAGGGCAAAGTGCTTAAAAGTTAAAAATAAACATGAAGAGGTAAAGTGTTTTTCGACCCAATCGTTCAGGGGTTTACTGCCATCTACCCCCTCCCCCCCCCCCCCCCCCCTTTAATTTTTTTTTTTAACCCCAGAAATAATTAGCTCAAAAACAGGTGACAAATAATGTTGAGAACAAAATAAGAAATAATACGTACTTCCGGCTCCACGGGAATTATCTCTGTAGTATTGCATTTGATCATGCGGCTTTCGCTTCTTCTTTCTCCCGCACGACACCAAAAAGACTATCATCATAAGGAGCAACAGCCCCGCTCCAGCAGCAACTCCCGCGATAACAGCCTTTTGACTGTTATAAGAGTCACTGCTACCGTTATCGGATGTCGGTGGTGAGTGGGACTTTGGCAGTGATTTGCCAGAATGTGGCGGTGGCGGAGGAGGAGGAGGAGGAGGTGGTGGAGGTGGAGGTGGAGGTGGTGGTGAGTCACCATCTTTATTTCCATTTGATTTGGGAGGTGGGGGTGGAGATTTGTTGTCGTCACCGTCAGAAGATGGAGGTGGCGGCGGCGACGGCGGCGGAGGAGATGGCGGCGGCGGCGATGGCGAAGGGGCGGTTGATGAGTTTGATGGTGGAGGTGGCGGTGGAGATTTCTCAGACATTTTTAGCAGGGCTTTTTTTTTTCTTTTTTTTCTTTTCCTTTCCCCGCCCTTAATCACAACCTCCTCAGGATATACCGTGCAAACCCCGCCAGTCTCCCAAATAATGATCCCTGAATCAAATCAACATGCATGCACAAATAAGGCGTTATTTTCTTCAGTTTCCTACGTATATATGAACAACCTACGACACCACAAGTCAGTACCCAACATTTGAGGAAAATCAGATAAGCAAACCAACCATCAAAATCACCACATACATACACTGCAATTGAAACTGCATGGCCAAAAATTTTTTTTTTTAAAAAAAGAGAATAATTTGTATTCATATTGATTGATCTCCTTTCATATGCAAAAATGATTCTTACGCAGATAGAGTTCATATGCAATGTGATCTTTCTTTACAAGTCAAAAGAACATCAAGGAGGAAATATGGATCTGAAAGGAACAAGAAAGATACCTTTAGGAGAAGGGCAGGGAGAAATCTCGAAGAAAGCAGCGGAAATAGATGTTGCATGGCAATCGTATCAAGAAACGAACCAGCATTCCATTTTTTTCATCCCCATACACCAGCCGAAAATAAAGGAACGAAATTTCAGTTATTACATGTACTTGTATGATGAGAAATTACCTCAACCATTCAATTAATATCTCACGTCTCCTATATTACTGAGTCCTAAGTTCCAATAGTTCTTGGATTTTCTTTTCTTTTTCTTTTTTTTTTCCCTAAATTTGGTACAATATAAGGCTCTAAATGATATTCTGTAACTAATTACCTGCTTGCTAGATCAGTTATTCACAGCTGCGTTATATCTCTTTGTGTTTTATTTTTATTCATTAAGTCCAACTCTGGCTGAAGCTCAATTGCTCCAAGATTTTCCGCCTGATTATTACTACATCTTTAGCTGTTGCCCAACAAATGTCAAACTTCCCCATTATCGGCGCTTTTCTGCTTGAGGTGACAATTACAACCACAAATTGCCAATTTTACCGTCCTCTCCAAAATTAATTACAGTTTTTGTTGCTTATCAATTTTCATAAGATAACTACTGATGGAATAAAATAACAGATAAGAAAAACTACGTCCTGCAGCTCATATAACAGAAGAATTAAAACAGCCAGCCGAATAATTCAAAAAAAAATTAAAGTGAAAGAAGCATTTCTAATGCACGTTACTTTTTTTTTTTGCTCTTGAAACATTTTGGCAAAAACGTTAATGTTGTCTAGCGATTTAAATTTTTCCCAAAAAAAAAAACTTTTGTTTTTTGGGCATGCCATTGTAAAATAAGCTTGAAATGAAAATGGTTGGTTTTGAGTGCAGACATTATTACTTTGAACGAATTCAAGTTCAAAAAAGGTCAAATATGTTTGAACATCTTATACAACTTTGCAACTCAAAAAATATAATTATTTTAATTTACCTATTGAATGAGAAGATTTCACCAAATATAAGAAGATTTTCAATATTTAAATAAAATAAAATTCTAAACAATCAAGATAAGATAAATTGACATAATTACTAATTAAGAAAAATTAGTAATACTAACTTGAGTAAATGTACAAACGAGTCCAGGTGAATTTAGACGAACTATTCGTGAACCAAGTCAAACTCGACTCATTTAGAAAATAAGCATAATTTAATATTTGAATTCAACTCATTTAATTAAGTGAACGAGCTTAATTTGATATTCAAGCTTATACGATTTGAGTCGAGTTGAGCGCTCACAAGTCAATCGTTCATTTAACAATTCTATACACAATTCAATAAATCGAGAAGAGGAAGGAAAACAAGAAAAGGGTTAGTGTGGATACTCAACTGATGGATAATTGTGCACCGGTTTCATAATCTCTTTTTGGAAACAGTTCAAGAATTGATTAAATAAGAAAAATGTCTGTCCGAAGGCACATATTAGAATTAGATGGTCTAAGATTTAGGTATCTGAGGAAATTTAGCGGTAACAGTTTAGTTGAACGGACAAAGTGATAAAAGTTGCCGCTCACCCAGACACTAACATGGTGTCACGAACTCAGGGTTGTTTCTGGAATTTTGTTGATTGAACTTGGATGAACTGGTAGAGTTCAGAAGAATTGGGGAAGAAGCAGGGGATTGCAGATAGAGAGGAAAGAAAGAAAGAAGATTCAGAAGAGAGGGAATGGAACCAATGAACTTATATTTCTCTTATTCTTCAATCATGTGGGCCCCGCTTATATAACCAATCCTAACAACTTGTGTCAGATGGTTAAGAACCGAATTACCTAACTAATGGACTCATTAAATGAAACGACAACGTTTGCTAGTGCTTCAGTAAGTCCAAAACAGCATCGTTTTTACTAATCTATTGAATTAACAGTCTAATGCTCAGACTGAGCCTTTATTATGCTTAAGTCCCTACAATTTGCAGCCTGACAATCCCTTCCTCTTAAAAATAGACTTGTCCTCAAGTCTAGAATGCAGGAAATTGTGGTTCAATGAAAGACCTGTCCTCCCAAGAAGCTTCCTCAGGCTCCAGTTGATTCCATTTAATCAGGAACTGAATGACAGGTTGTCCATTTCTCAAAATGACTCTTCTGCGCAGGATTGCCTCTGGTTGTAATGGACATTGATCCTGTGTGTCAAATTTTGGTAGCTTAGTAGAACTCCCTTGCACAGGTCCAAGTTTATTCTTAAGTAGCGAAACATAAAACACAGGGTGTAGTCTAGTGCCTGCTGACAACTTCAGTTTATAGGCCACTGAACCAACTTTCTCCTCTACCTGGAAAGGTCCGTAGTATTTGGCAGACAGCTTGAGACACTTTCTTACTGCTACTGTTTGTTGCCTATATGGTTGAAACTTCAGAAAGACCCAATCCCCTACTGAAAATTTCCTCTCACTCCTGTGTTGATCAGCAAAGTATTTCATCATTTGTTGAGTCTTGACTAGGTTGTCCTTTATGCAATTGGAGATCCTGTTTCTTTCCTGTAGTAAATTGGAGGCTGCAGGCACGACAGAATCCAAATAAGGCCCTAATGGTAGAGGCACTGGTTTATATCCAAACAGTGCTTCAAATGGTGTCATATTGAGGCTGGAGTGGTAGGTAGAATTGTACCACCATTCAACCATAGTTAGCCATTTACTCCACTAGGATGACATTTCCCCTGTCATGCATCTCAAATAGTTCTCCACACACTGGTTGAGCCTTTCACTCTGGCCATCAGACTGGGGTTGGTAAGAGGATGTATAATGTAGCTCTGTCCCCATTACCTTGAATAGTTCCTTCCAGAATTCACTGGTGAAGATTTTATCTCTGTCAGTGATAATGGATTCAGGTAATCCATGCATCCGATATATGTTGTCCAGAAAGGCTAGTGCAACCCCCTTGGCAGTGAAATGATGAGTGAGCTTAATAAAGTGACCAAACTTAGTGAATCTATCAATCATCACTAGTATGGTATCATAACCCTGTGACTTAGGTAGTTTCTCAATGAAATTCATGGCAATTTGGGTCCATGCCTGGGTGGGAACTGGAATTGGTTGTAGCAGACCAGGATAAGGCACATTCTCATATTTGTTTCTTTGACATGTATCACAGTTTCGTATGAAAGTTATTACCTCCTGTTTCATTCCTGGCCAGTAAAACAATGATTTAACCTTCTGCCAGCAGCTTTTCTATCCAGAATGTCCCCCTATTGCTGAAGCATGAAGCACTTGGATAATCTGGTTTCTGATGTTTTTGGCACTCCCACATACAATTTTCCTTGATACCTCAACATTCCATCCACCATAGTATAATCAGTGTAAGTATTGGGATCCAGTATTAGCTGAGCCATAATGTCTTGGCAGCGACCATCCCTTTTATAGCTTTTCTGCAATTCTTCCATCCAGACAGGTTTTACTGCAGTAATAGCCAAGTATGAGTGGAGGGAAGATTCTGCAACAGCTTCATGTCTTCTAGATAAGGCATCTGCAACTTGATTTTCAGTCCTTTTTTTGTACTGTATCTCATAGTCCAGGCCCATTAGTTTTGTCATCCACTTATGCTGGAGAGCAGTATTCAGTTTTTGATCCAGTAAATACTTCAATGATTGGTGATCTGTTCTGATAATGAAGTGACTCCCAACCAAATAATGCCTCCATTTCGTGACTGCCATTACTAGTGCAAAAAGTTCCTTTTCATAAACTGATAGTCCCAAGTTCTTGGTTGACAATGCTCTGCTCAAAAAGCAATGGGGTGCCCTTCCTGCATCAAGACTGCCCCAATACTTACCCCACTGGCATCTGTTTCAACCACAAATGCCTTTTTAAAATCTGGTAAACTAAGGACTGGGGCAGAACACATCAACCTTTTCAAGTGTTCAAAGGCTGCCTGTGCCTATGAATTCCATTTGAAGCTGTCTTTTCTGAGTAGTTCAGTCAAGGGCTTGCACACCAATCCATAATGCTTTACAAACCTTCTGTAGTAGCCAGTTAGACCCAAGAACCCCCTCAACTCCTTAACAGTCTGTGGTACAGGCCATTGTAAGATGCTACTGACCTTGGAGTCATCCATTTGAACTCCCTTGTCAGTGATGGTATGTCTCAAGTAATCTATTCTTTTCTAAGCAAATTCACATTTGGATTTCTTCACATACAGTTGGTTATCCTTCAATAGATTCAGAACAATTCTCAAGTGTTGGAGGTGATCCTCTAGTGTGGGGCTATATATAAGTATGTCATCAAAGAAGATTAGGATAAACTTTCTCAGATAAGGCTGGAATACTTGGTTCATCAATGATTGGAAGGTTGCAGGGGCATTTGTGAGGCCAAGTAGCATAACCAAGAACTCAAAATGTCCACAATGCGTCTGGAAAGTTGTCTTGTAGGTGTCCTGAGGTTTGACTTTGATCTGATGGTAACCTGCAGTCAAATCTAGCTTGGTTTTGAACACAGCTCCTGCCAATTCATCCAGCAATTCATCTACATTGGGTATTGAAAATCTGTCCTTGATAGTGAGTTCATTCAGCTTCCTATAGTCCACACAGAACCTTCAAATTCCTTCTTTCTTCTTGACCAGTAACACAGGAGAGGCAAAGGGACTGTTACTGTGTTTTACAATGCCTTTTTGCAGCATTTCAATCACCTGCCTCTCTATTTCCTGTTTGTGGCAGTGAGGATACCTGTAAGGTTTGAGTTTGAATGGTTGAGCGTCTGGTTTAAGGGGTATCTCATGGTCTACACTTCTGCTAGGGGGTAATGAACTGGGAGTCTGGAATATATCTTCATACTCCTGCAGTAGCTCATGTACTTCCTGTGGGGTGGACTCCAGTTTGCTTCCCTCCTGCTGTTGAGAAGTCATGGCCATGCACATCTGCTTTTTGTATTCAATGAATGTCCTCAAGTCCTTGCCCCTGATCAGATCCATGTCACAATTGTCTGCTTGCCCGTGTAGGTGAATTTTCCCTCCTTCATGATGCAATGATATCCTGAGCTGTTGAAAGTCAAATGTGATGAGACTGAAGTGTGTCATCCAGTCCACTCCTAGTATTATATCCCACCCTTCTAGTTCCATCACTTTGAGGTTGAATTTGAAATTGTGTTGGTTAATGCTCCACTATACACTAGGACAGACAGCATTGCTGGTAACAGAAGTCCCATTTCCCATGATGATAGAGAAAGGCTGATCCACCCACTGGTACTTGACATCCATCCCAATAACCAGTTCACTGCTGATATAGCTGTCAGAACTTCCAGTATCTACTAAGATGAGCACCTCTTCTCCATCTAAGACTTATGTGAGTGTGATTGTCTTCCTCTTTAAGACCTCAGATAATGCATGCAAGGGCATTTTCATGGTTTGACCAGGATTCCCAGTATGTTCATCCTGTTATCCCAGAGCATCTTCAAATGCAATTTCCTCCTCCTCTTCTAACATCATGCAGTTCGTATGGCCAACCTTGCACTGATGGCCAACTCCATATTACTCTCCACATTTGAAACACAGTCCATTGTTCCTCCTATACTGCATTTCCTATGCAGAGAGCCTCCTAGGATCCTTAGTGCCTTTTTGCCAATTGGCCAATTTAGGATGTTTGGGATTGCTGTGGAGTGGAATCCTATATGAGTTAACCCCCAATGCTGTAGTAGTGTTTCTTGACAATCCAAGCCTGTTTTCTCCTAGTGGCTTGACATTCTCTTTAGAACTCTTATTCTGCAATTTCAATGAATACTCTTGCCACTGAGACAGTTCAAATGCTTCAGCCAGGGTAGCAGGTTTCAACATCTTGATCATAGGTTTGATCTCTTCCTTCAGTCCACTTATGAAACTAGAAATGAAATAGGTCTCATCCAGATTTCGATTTTTCATTATCATCAATGCCTTTAACTCCTCAAATTTCTCCTGATATTCTTCAACATTACCTATCTGCTGTAGCTTATTAAATTCTTCCACTATATCTCGACAAGTGCTATCATTAAACCTGCGACATAGCAGATCCCCAAATTTTTCCCAACTTAGCTTAGGTTTCTCAATTTTTACTCCTTGGAACCATTTATCAGCCTTGCCTTCCAAATACATTTCAATTACATCCACTTTATATTCTTCTGGAACTTGATAGTTCAAAAAATATTTATTGCATTTACGTAACCATTCCCTAGGATTTTCTCCAGCAAACATCTGTAAATCAATCTTAGGAGGATTTGAAATTTGAAACTTACTCCAATCCTTCCTGAAGGATCTTTGAGCCTCACAGTCTATGGTTAACCTCTGATGAGCTGGTGGAGTTAGTAGAATTGGCGGCTGGTCGATCATTCTGCCACTCTCCTCGGTTGCTTGCTCCTTGCCAGAATTCATCTTTAGTAGCAGATCACTGAATTTCTGCTCAAGCATTTGAGTGAAGTTCTGCTCCATTCCTGACAACAGGCCTTCCATCCGCCTGTTGTTTTCTTCAAGCTTCATCTTCAAGTCTTTCTTGATTTGCTGGTGTTCAGATTTGGAAGTATGTAGGGATTCTACCAATTCTTGTAGCTTGATTTCTTGTTTCCTGACTTGCTCTTCAATGGTGCGGAATCTTGTGCTTTCAACCATGATTGTGTTGTAAATTCCAATGATCTATTGCTTTGATACCACTTTGTCACGAACTCAAGGTTGTTTCTGGAATTTTGTTTATTGAACTTGGATGAACTGGTAGAGTTTAGAAGAATTGGGGAAGAAGCAGGGGATTGCAGATAGAGAGAAAAGAAAGAAAGAAGATTCAGAAGAGAGGGAATGGAACCAATGAACGTATATTTCTCTTATTCTTCAATCATGTGGGCCCGCTTATATAACCAATACTAACAACTTGTGTCAGATGGTTAACAACCGAATTACCTAACTAATGGACTCATTAAATGAAACGACAACGTTTACTAGTGTTTCAGTAAGCCCAAAACAGCATCGTTTTTACTAATCTATTGAATTAACAGCCTAATGCTCAGACTGAGCCTTTATTATGCTTAAGTCCCTACAATTTGCAGCCTGACACATGGGTATTATTTGCAAGAGCCCTGGGTGTAGGGCTGATGCTAGACCGAGTAGCTTAGCGCTGATGCTGGACCAAGTAGCTTGACTCGAGCTCGCAAGCTACTCGGTCAGTAGCTCGGCTCAAGCTCGGTTTGATCGAGCTTGATCTTGAGCTCGAGCTGCTTGATAGAAGCAGCGAATCAAGTTCGAGTTTCAATATTTTACACTCGAAGGTTCGACGAGCCTAATCGAACTTTTTTCTAATATATATTTTAATTTTTATTATTATGAAATGTCAATAATATCTTTTATTTAAAATTATATGTAAAATATTAATTTTTATTATATGAGCTTGATTAGACTTGATTAAGGTCGAATAGCCTCGATTAAACTTGATTTGAATTGATTATATTTAATTAAACTCGAACTCGAGTTCGAGCTCGAATAACGTAAATTAACGTCGAGTTCGAGCTCGAACTTGAATTCTAAAAGCTCGACAAGCTCGAGCTCAAACTTAATTATTTTACTGCATTACTCGAGCTCGACTCGACACAAACGCACTCCTACCGGGGTGGTCGTTAGGATAGGTATTTTATGTTAAAATTTATTACAGCCGCCCAAACAATGAACACTTTCCCATGGTAGAAATCTTAAAAAAAAAAAGAGTAAATTTTATATACATTAATAATGTATACATTATTACCATTGAATTCATTACACATATATAAATGTTAGAGTTCAAATTTAAATTTTGTATAACTGTTATTATTCCAATGCTGATAGTGTATACATTATTAGTGTAGAAAAGATTAATTCAAAAAAAAAGTAAACACGTAAAAATATGTTAGCAATAACAAACAAAAACTTTGAGAAATACTCTATTTACGCTTCCATTATTTATTTTTATCATATAGCATAATAAATAAAATTATTTAATTAAAATGATAATGAGAGTATTAATGTTTTATCATATAGTCTAATAAATAAAAATTAGATGATTAAAATGACAATAGGAGTGTCAAAACCTTTTTAAAGGAAAAAGCCTGGATTCATAAAAATAATAGATGAATATGCAAAATAAATGTGCAGATAATAAAATAGATATTGAAGGTGGCGAATGCAGCATAACCCGAAACGCTCATCCTCTAGAAACGTCGTCGCCTCCGCTTGCCCTACGCAACCACGGAAAAGAAAAACATAATACTACTCCAGCTACTATAGTAATAAAGAAAATCAGAAATCAATGACGACGGTGGCGACAGACGCCCATCGCTAACTTCTCGCCTCTTGTCGCTCTCCCTCTCAAAACATTCTTCTTTTCCGGCAGATAAGTAGTAGTAGTTTGCAGATCCGGGTTCGGGTCATCAAATCCGGACCTCTTGATTTTGCCAAAATGCCTTCCCGCAGAAGAACGCTTTTGAAGGTCATCATCCTCGGTGACAGCGGGTTAGTCTCTCACTCAACCTCCCTCTCGCGTACATACATCTATATACACGAACATATATTTAGATCATATACGTGTAGGAGTGGTGGGGTTTATCTATGATTTTATGGAAGCATACTGCAGAGCATCGATCTTCAATTCTGGAGTTCTGTGACAGCCCAATTTTGATATTTCCATAATTCGTCTGTTGTATAGGTTTTGATATGCCATGACATCGTTTTCTGCTATAATGATCTGAGTTCAGCATAGGGAGAAAGTTATGGCTTTTGTCTTTGGTGATTTTTTTTTTTTGGGTTCTGTTTTTTTGAATTGCAGGGTGGGGAAGACCTCATTGATGAATCAGTATCCTCCATAGTGTGGTTATTTTAGTATCTTACATTTATTGTTGGTGGTCTGTTTTGCGGACTGCAAACATAGAAGATTGAAATTTCATTCCGGGGTTTTGCATTTGCTGGCTGCTTGCTTGTTTGTCTTTTTGTCAGTTTGGTTGCCTTGAATCGATGATTTTAGGTATGTAAACAAGAAGTTCAGCAATCAATACAAGGCAACTATTGGAGCTGATTTCTTGACAAAAGAAGTGCAGTTTGAAGACAGGCTCTTCACTTTGCAGGTCTGTGTCATTGCAATTGTTTATTACTTGGTTCACTAAGGAGCATCAATAGAGGCTTAGTGGAGCAGTAACATAGGAATTCACTAAGCTGAAATGCTGTTTTCTGATTTCCTATTTTTCCCTCCCAGATTTCACTGGTTCCAGCCTTGCCTACGGCATAGTCAGAATTTAGGAGAATAATTTAGAAAATATTTGATACAAATATAGATGTTTGTGTGTAATATCCTATGTGATAATGCTCGGATTTTTTTGGTGAAAAAATTGTTTAATAGTGTTTTCGTTCTCTTTGAGTAATTGCTATGAATTAGATCAAGGATAGGTTTTAGGACTTATTGTCAAAATCACATTCTTCAGAAAAAGCAAGTTAAGGGAGTTGAGAGGAATTCTAATGGAATCAGTATAACAGTCATTCAGCGGTAACTCCATCCCACCCAGAACTATTTTGTCGTATAAACAATCCAATTTGGGAATATGAATGTCTGAGATATACCTTTAGCTGTTTGGTGCACTTAATTGTCTTAGATATCCTCTGGCAGTAAGGTGTTTCTTGTAGGAACAAGGAAGAAAACTTTTGTTCAGCAAAGCTGTAATCAATGAACATAAGGGTTGTAAATAAATATATTTTTCTAGTAAAGACACAAGGGTTGTGTTTGTCTCATGGATGTTGTTTATTTCTTTCCAATTTAGTGGCATCACTAGTTCTCGTGCATAATATTACCCATGGTTGAGCTTCTTTTCATTCTAAAATGTTACTACATATCTGGTATGTAACTTCTAGTGCGAAGGCTTAAGATTGTGGTTCATGTGTTACATAGATTTGGGATACAGCAGGGCAGGAAAGGTTTCAGAGCCTTGGTGTTGCTTTCTATCGTGGTGCGGATTGCTGTGTCCTTGTTTACGATGCGAATGTGATGAAGTCTTTTGATAATCTAAATAATTGGAGGGAAGAGTTCCTCATACAGGTAATTTGGCATGAGTTATGAGCAAAGGTCCAGCATCAGTGAGATTTTAGAGTGCTTGATTATATTGGAAAACTGAATTTCTTTGAATCATATAATAATATACTGCAGGCCAGTCCTTCAGATCCAGATAATTTTCCATTTGTTGTGCTGGGAAACAAGATTGATGTGGATGGTGGAAATAGTAGAGTGGTAAGTTTTAAATATGATTTGCATAATTTTAAACTCTGACGCACTGATAAATGGTTGTACCAGTAAATAGTTCATCCTAAAAGTTAAAATACTTTTAGTGTCTAAAAGTTTAAATTTTATGTGGAAACAACAGGTGTCTGAGAAAAAGGCCCGAGCATGGTGTGCCTCTAAGGGAAACATTCCATACTTTGAGACTTCTGCAAAGGATGGCACAAATGTGGAAGAAGCTTTTCAATGCATTGCCAAAAATGCCTTAAAAAGTGGAGAAGAAGAAGAAATGTAAGTCTGAATCATTATTCTCCAGTAATTAGTTACTAGGGAAAGAAATTCTTTAAAGAGATAAACCATGTTATATGTGTTCTAGACAAATTGACATCAAACTCAGGTAGTCGGAGGAATTGGCACATAAATCAGGACACCAACTAATGTTTGTCTTATAAGTTTATTAAATTTCCTGGTTCCACGTGAAAACACTCACATGTTAGCTGCATATGGCCGGCCCATTTCTTACCTACCTTTTGTCCCTAGGTCTGCATGAATTCAAGAAATGGATATTTCTTTTGCAAGTTGATAGCTTTGAGAAATACTCCATTCATTGTTAGACAATATGAAACTTACTCAAGTTCAATCATGATTATCTTGAGCTTGCAAAATACAATTTGATTAATAATCTTTGGAGCACTGTAAACATGGCCTTTTGCTATTTCAAATTAACTCGGAAGTCAGAATATAAGACTATAAAGGTTCCTGGTGCTTTTGATACAATTTTCTTATTTTATCTACTTGGTATGCTCTATTCGGTTTTTAGAATATGCTGAGAATGTACTGATAAAATGTCGTTGCTTTTATCTTGTGGGGCATTGAACGTCATGAAGATACTTGCCTGACACTATTGATGTTGCAAGCAGCAGCCAGCAGAGGTCATCTGGGTGCGAGTGTTAAATTGAGTAACATGGTCTTGAGTCTGATTACAGAACAAATCCTCCAAAGCACTCCACCATCTGGCTCATCTTCATTTTATTTATTTGATTTATGAGGCCAAACTTGTACATTGATGTTTGCGTGAGAAAAGCTGATGGTCTCTAGATGTTTGTTGACTTTCAGAAGTTTATCCTCCTCTGTATCTATTGCCTGTTTTCATAAAGCTTCCTAGTATTCCATGCTCTCTTCTGTCAATAGTGAACAGGATGTTTTCCTTTCCGACAATGCCAGACAGCAATCCTCTGCTTACTTGTGCCATGTACTGGTTTTAACAGTTAGAATTTTTATTTTTCTTGAGACCTTGCTAGAATAGTTGTTTATCCAACAAGCAGTAAACTTCACTCGGGCGTTGGGCGGCTTGGTATGGGTGCAATCGTGCGCTTGGCCTTCTTTGGACTGTGTTTGGGTGGGAATTGGGGTTTCGGGTGATGTTTTGAGGTCAACTGGTATCCGTTCCACTGTATAACATATTTTAGGTAATAGTAGTAGGCTGCATTGTCATGATCGAGTGCATGCGTAGCCAAACTTTGAACTTGAAAACAAATTTACGGTCAATAATCTTACATTATCGAGGCTCTTTAACCTTTTAAGGTGTAATTAATTTCGCCTGCAGTCCCATTCTTCCAACCCCTGCCAAGAGTATAAAAGTACTCCAGGTTCTGTTGGCGGAGGCTTATGATTCGAAGCCCACATAAAGCGCTCCAGTGCTGTTTACAGGTGCTCTTTTTATGTCAACACTTTGAAACGTATTTTAATGTCAATGGCTGAAGTAGTTGCATCCTGTTAGCTCTCATCCGCATGCCGACTGTTTTAATCAGACGGATGACGGTGCTTGCATGAACAAAAACCCAGCAGCAGCCGAAACAGTTTAACTCAGGAAAATTTATATGGACGACATGCTACAGTCAACGGTGAAGAGGAGGAGGAGGAGGAAGAGGAGGGGGGGGGGGGGAGGGGAGACAAAAGCTTCACAAATTCAAAGTTGGTTAACACTAAATACCACAATAACTCAGGGCTAACTCAGTGGTTAGGAGAGGACTCAGGGTTTAAATCCTATGCCTATCAATTGGAGGTTAAAAAAAAAAAAGGACCACAATCACCAATTCTCTTAGAAACTGCATGCTGTATATTTTAACAATTCATCTAACCTAAGATGCTTTAGTGAGAAAATTTCTACATCCATCTAGAGGCTTCATAATAAGTTCTTCCACGGGGATGCAAACAAATTATGAGCCAATTCAATCTGGATCCAGCCTCCAATCCATTCGAAGAAGCATATAGATGCTTTTAATGGTCTCGGTGATCTTCCAATTATATAGCCGAACAAAACATGCTGGCACACCTGATTAATATATGGATCACGTTCTCAACACACAGCAATAATACAAGAGAAATCAGAGATTGATACTAATGTATGCATAGCAGGGACGATGTTATACTGCATTCAAAACGCACAGCAAATCCACCCAAAAAATAAAAGGAACAAAAAACTAGAGTAACTGCGTCCTGAAGATGCATCTGCTGAATGTATAGATGGTAACCAAGGGCAAGAATCATCAATGAACTTTTTCGACTGTCAGACAGAGGAAAAAGAGTTTCCCTATTTTGGTATTGCTTTATCTTCTGGTGCCATAAATGCCAACCTAATTTTCTCATACCGAAGTCCTCTCATTCAGGTTGAGTGGACACAACTTTAGATCATAAAACATTCAAGAGCAAAGAAACACCACAACGTTTGCTTCACCACAGGCTTTAAGAAATTTAATCTAGAGAACAAAGAAAAATGACTCTAAAAGTTCTGAACACAACTCATCATCCGCTTAGCAGGGAAGAAAAGAAAGGAACCAACACAATGAGGGGCAAAATTACCAAGACAAGGAAACCAGAAACTCTAAAAATTTTTAACTAGATGGCTCATTTTCATGATGAGCAAAGGTCAAGTAAAGAAAAAAATCTGCCGGTTTATCCACAAGTAGAATCTTAAAGGTTAATCAATTTCTTTGTCTTTCTTTTCTATTTTATTCTATTTTTTTGGAATCAGAATCTCCTACTTTATTTTTAACATTCACTACCACAAAAGTAAGTATTGTACATACTTGTTAAATGGTGGGCCACAGTCAGGACCAGCAAGAATGAGACGATCCATGTGCATGTCACCAGAAGCTACTTAGTGACAACTGAAGAAGGTTGGTCCTGATTGGACGGCTGCACTGAACTTCCTGCAATAGTTGCAGGTAGAAATGAACTTGACGCTGGATTTGATGCTATTATGGGTTTAGAAACCGGTGGCCTTGGAGAGATCATACCAATAATGGGCCTCGGTGCAGAGTTTGCAAAAGCCATTGCCACTCTGTTGACAGGCAATTGTTGTGACATTGTCCGAGAACCTGGCTTCCCAAGTCGAGTTGCTATTATTTGCGCCCGCTCGTGAAAAAGCCTCTGCTTTGACCTTTCCAACTGCTCCCGAACTCTCATTACAACATTCTCCATATCATTGAAAAAAGCCAACTTGGTTTCCAACTTGTGCAACTACAAAACAGGTATTCTATAAAGCAATAAAACTTTAAATAATGGGAAACTCTAATAAATTGGCCAAGCTAGCTAGCCCATTATTAGCCATTCAATCACTAAGCAGCGTAAGAGGTTCAGGCCCTAGACAGATTTAGAGAAGTCAATTGATAGATATTTCACACCAAACATAACTTACAATCTATAATAAATTCTAAAACTCTTCTTTTGCTAATTCTCACTTTTCATCAGTCCAACACATGACACGGGAAAATAACTAGTTGAAAGTCAAATAATCTTATCAGACAACTTGAGAAGCATATGCTATGTTTCTCAATGACGTTTAGACACATTTTCAATACGGAAAAGAGAATGAAACTGTTTTTAACAGCTAAAGAATGACAAGCGAACCAGCTAAACTTGCATTGTTTTATCCCCAATAAATAAAGGTCCAACTAGTGCAACTACAAAACAGGGATTCTTTAAAGCAATAAAACTTGCATTGTTTTATCCCCAGGTGTCTTGCTTAGTAGCTTAAAAATACATTAATAAATAAAGGTCCACCTAACAAACCACCAATCAACAAGAGCACTTAGCTTTCACTAATTGGTTTAAGTAATTGAAGCCTCATGATGAAGCTTTGGTTGGTAATAACTGTACCTGCTTTTCAATTAAGAGTGCAGCAAGTCGTTGAATTTGTTGTTCTTCTTGCTTAGCTAGAAGCTTTGCCTTCACTGCAGCAGCTGATAGAGCAGTAACCGCAGCTCGTTTTATCTTATCAGTGGCAAGATCATTTTTCATCTCCAAAGCACATTTCTCCTCATCAATGATATCTTTAGCTTCTGCATCAGCAAGCAGCAAAATCTAAGAAAAATACTACCAACTTTGTCAAGTATAATAAGAGTTCTAAGTAGTAGCAAATCCTTAAAGAGGGGCAAATGGTGGATGTTTATATTTTATTCCCCTATAAAATCACACAATAGGTCATGAATTTGAATCTGTCAATGTTTTTATCAAATTGCAGAACATACATGGAGCATAGTGTACTTAACAGCTTTAATCACTAGACCCTCCCATTCTCCTCAATGTTATCTGACTTTTTTTGCAAATTAATTCCTATTGACATCCAAAGGCTGTTTTAAGCATGTTCATCTACCTACAAGAAAGACCCTCATTAGAAGCAGTCTAGTTCAACAAAATTTTCTTCTAGCACACCTTTATTTGCTTCATTCTCTGCCACCAAATTTGAGGCAGTTAGTTCCACACGATCTTTCATTTCCAAGTCCATATCCTTTGAAACATCCGCTGATTCAGAAGGTTCCCCCAGTGGGGCTGCATCATCTGGCTCCTTCTCAAAACCAGGAGGAACTTCCACTTCCATTGCTAAATCATCTGATTTCTCAGCATTCGCTGGCTCCTGTTCCTTCGGGACATCTGGTTTATCTGATTCAATGACATGTGTAGGTTCTGATTCCTCATTAGTTGTTGTTTCATTAGTTTCCTTGGCAGATGCAGGTTCATCTACACATGCAAGACTTGGAGAAGCCAGTGGTCTCTCTTCTTCCACAAGAGAATCCTTCTTACTCTTGTTGTCCTCCTCAGTTGATAAATGGGCACCATCAACAACTGGGCTCAAGTTCTCTTCACGCTTTTCAGGGTATTGCTCATCACTTCTAGGAGTTTCTTGCTCAACCATTTCAGCAGGTCTGCATATCTTATGTCACAATTAGGACCAATGCTTAAATTATTAATTTAGTTCGTAAACAAGCTCACCAACCTTTCAGAAAGAACAGAGTTTTTTTCATCAGGTGGATCTTCCAAGCGGAAACAGTGTCTCATTGCCAGCTGATCACCAGTACAGTTGCCAGAAATGGATTTTAAAGAGCTACGTGCAGAGGCGGTGGCAACATTAGGTTCCAATAGTCTTACTAGGAATGCAACCTAATATGAGAAAGCCAAATTTTGAACAAAGTTAGAAACAAGACAAAAATTTAATTACTGTCTTCATTTGTCTAAAAGTAATTAGTGCTAATCTGCACATTTTTAAGTATGGAATGATGTGACTGTCTCTAAACAAGTGTTTATTTTCCAAAATTCAGCTTATCTCTTTCCAGGTTTTAGAAGAAAATTTAAGGAAAATATAAGCTTACGAGCAAAATCTTGCATTGCTAACTGGAAAACCTCAAGATGATGTAACAGTTGAATTAATTACATAATTAAGCCAATCTCAATTCACTTCAACAGAGAGAGACTAAGCGAGTAATTTGGGCCACATAAGGAAACAAAACCCACATACCAGTGTCATCACAGGATTACCGGCTTCAGCAAAAGAAAGCCGTTCACCCGGCGAAGGGAGAGAATTAACAATTTCAAATGCTTCAGTTAGTGCTTTCACAGCAAAATTCTCACCAACTTCACAGACTGTTGATCCATCAGTGTCTTCAGGCTTTGAACTTTCCATCGGAGAAGATGAAGGGTCGTCGTCTTTTGCCTTGACCTTGCTCTCAGCTGTTTCAGGACCATCTTTTGGAGCTGAAGTATCATCATTAATTGGAACTGCATCTGAATTTCCTTTAGAAGGAATGTCACCTTCATCGCAACTATCCAAGAATGTATCTTCAATTGGCATTTGGACAAAATGCAAAATACACTGAGCTTTAGTTTTAGTAGCGACATGCTCAGCAATCTCATTCCAATTTTCCTTGAAAAGTTCCAAAGCTTCAAGGAGTAGGAGGGTCTCCTGATCTGTCCAATTTCCACCACTAGCACCACCGGCCTCAGCAGGCTCCATCACAATAAAATCGGACGGGGACATATCAGAACCGAACTTCCCATTGTTAAAACATTCAGTGCATAAATCAAAATCTGCCTGTGTAACAGAGATACAATCAGCAGAAGTGAAATTTCAGGAATATTATAAGAACCCAGTCCAATATTGGTGGCAAAATAGTACCTTTAACGTCATGCATTATTGGCAAGTATTGTTGAAATAAAAAATTAACAATTAAAAAAAGTTTAAAAGGCAACAAGAGCTCCTCAAAACATATGTCAATTTCATGGAGTACGCCTATTTCTTTGTTTGCAATAGAAAGGATCCCTTCTTTTTCAAGTTACACAAACAAACAACCCCATATTGTGCAAGAGATATAAATAAGTCTTTCTTGATGGCATTTTGACTACATAAATAGCATTTTTTGGTAAGGCTAAAATGATCTTGGAATAAAAACAAAATGCATTTTGTCATCTTCGTCCGCAATTAAATGAACTGCAGCAAAGTTTGGTCAACGATTAGCTTTAGATCCCTTGTCAGACACTATAAGTATTCTTCTAGGTTTATAATCAGTGCCAATAAGGTCAAATTGCCATCTCTGCATATTTCTATCAAATGAAGGCAGATTTTGACCAATAATTAGGTTTAGATCACTTATAATATTCAATGACTTCAACTTTTAGAATCTGTGAAAATTTTGATTACTATTTTGATCAGTGCATCCTGTATTATGGTAAACTTTTGTACAATCAATAAGCAAGCATGACAATGTTATATCCCCATAAGTGACATAAAGCAGTTGATAATCAGCGATCTGAAAAGAAAATGGATATAGATGGCAAATTGAGTTAAATATTATATGTTATACAATCATTGGAGACAATAAATACACAAGGCAAGTTAGGGAGAGTTTATGTGGCAAATAGGGGTGAGTGTATTTCGAAAATTTTGCAATCAGACGCAAATGACATAAAATAATTGACTCTACTCGCTGTTTTAGGTTCCAGATATCTATATTTTGTCGTTGCCTCATTAAATATTTTGCTTGAGCATGCATATCAAATATGGTCAAGGGAAACTTTACCTTCGAATCTTACTTTGCAACCAATCCACATAATTTTAGTCTTCCCTTGACAAATAACTAAATTAATACTTATCCACTTATAATAAGATACTTATGGCACTTTCCTTTTATATTCAGACTTTGATATTGTTTCTCATGGACCTTTGATCTTAAAGTAAAGGGAATAACAGAAATGTGAATTCACTCATACAGCCTTTCATTAGACAAAGTTGAACTCTAAAATGATTCATATATTGATTTCATGACAAGGTGATCACAATGCTTTGTGGCATCAAAACTATACAAGAGTTTAATTTATGCTAAGCAGATGCTTAGAACAAATTTATGCAAAGGAAATAGAAAAAATTGAAAATGCAAGGTTAAGAAGGCCTTAGTGAAGGGCATAAATGGAATTATAATGAAACAAGGACTTCTTCAAATTAACCAGGTGATGATAGGATTATTCACCTCGGAAGAACATTCGAAGACTTTGAAAATCATTATTTGGAACTCCATATAAGGACCAAAAATTAAACATCAAAATTGTAATTTTCAGCATTTACTTTAAATGGCAGAGTTGTGGATTTCTGGATTGGAAATACTCTCGAATCATCACATCAATGGCTCAAAGGTTTCAGTTAGCTAGGCAGTTAATAGAACTCACTCGATTACAAACTATGCAAACTCAAAGTTGATATCTTGATCACACAGTGGTCTAGAATTAGGAAAAATAAATATTTCAGCCGAAATAGATTCATAGCCTGCAACACGCTACAGAGAGGATAAATCATAAGAGACAAAATGGGCAACATAAACCTGCTTCTGGCAATGATAACGCTTGCGAGAGCAATCAGCTGAGCAAGAATTGCAATGGTACTCAACTCCCTCAGACTTGACCAGTTCTTCAGAAATTGCAGACTCTGGAAATAACCCAGATGACACAGATGGTGTTGCCTCACAGTTCCTGGGAATAACTCGCATACATGATTGATCGGATTCAAATCGAAACAAACTTTCCAACAAAGATTCAGCCTTTCCGTCTTTATGAGCATCACCTGTGATGCTCACAGTGGTCAGATCATCTTTTGGGAAAGGGTGGTAATTAATCAGCCCCCAGTAGTCCAAAAACTCCATCACCTCCTGCCTTGCATCCAACTCGCCAACCGATATCTCTGACAAATCTTTGAACTCAATATTTGTGTTGGGGTTTGCATGAAATTTTTTCATAATCCAATTACGTATCTCCATGTATATTTCAGGAGTCCTACTTTCAGATTTCCCACTGAAGAAAGATGGCAATGTTTTCTCTTCCAGGGGATGAATTTTTGTCCAAGAAAACCACCCTATACAAGTTTGAATAATAGCAAGAGAAGCAATAAATAAGCGTTAAGTTGCTTGACATATAAAGCACGTTGATCAGTTATAACAATTGCAGAACGTTCGCAATAAAGAACTTCCTTCGCATAGACACACCAATAATGTTTTTATTACCGCAAAGTGTAAAAATTTTGAAAAGTGCGTATAGGTGTTTGAGAGAAACAAACCTTCTGTGTATTCTTATTTACTAACCAGAACTACAATAAATATTATCCCTAATCTCCGGAAATTACCCTGTATAAGTTTCATTTAGCAGAATCTACCAATTACTCAAACTTGGAAACCTAAAAAATAAACAATGCAAATAAACCTAAGTGGTTCTCAAAATCCAGCAACATCAATTCCACCTCACCAGCATGATTGGGCACCACATGAGCAATAGACTCTCGTGATCTAATTGCTTCATAATCAGCTTCAAATTTGGCCTCCAGAGCTTGCAAATCCTCCTTGGCCGCCTCATTTGGTTCGTCCCCCTTCAAAACTTCTCCGCCTCCAGCCTCTCTCTTAGCCACCTCGTCCAACTCATTCTTCACACCGGAAGGCGAAGGTACAAAAGCGGCCCCGTTATTCGGCAGCAGCCGAGCTCTGGTTAACGGACCATTGTGGATCGGAGGGAAAGGTACGGGCGGCGGCTTCTCACGAGCCTGGCGCTTGGACGAGGTTGTTTGAGGAGTCGAACTGCTGCCGCTGCCGGTGGCGCTTGCTTTTCTCTTCTGTCCTCCGCCTCTCCGCCTCGAACTGGCAGGTGCATCCGTCACCGGAGCCTCGGCCGATGAAGCCGCCGGCGGTGGGGTTCCGGTGCGCTTTTCCTCCATTTTCAAGTTTTTAACTACTGAGGGTGTTGTCTTCCGCGCACTATCTGCGTATACTACTGTATTTATAATTTAATGCAGGAAAAGGAATCAAATGAATTTTAAAAATCTTGGGGAAAAATAATATATAATATATGACCAAAATTACTTTTTCCACCTTGTATAACTTTGATAACATGGATTGTCGGTCTATGCTTAGTTGGGTGCGTCTGCAGGACAAGTCACTTGTGGCCATTGAGTAGTAGTACACTAGTACTAATACTACTGGTCTACTGCAGCCTTCTCTGCTGTATAATCGTATTCTTGTGGAACTCCGATCATGATTCGTGCGTACAAAGAGATCAGACTAACCTTACCTATTTGACGTTCTGGATGAGGCGTCACCTCTTGATCTGGTGGACTGGACTTCATTTCGATCTTTTTGTTCTGTACTTTTTCGAAGGTTAGTTCAAGGAGTTAAGGTTGTTTTTAGAAGGTTTTTTTTCAGAAAAAAAAAGGGAAATTATTACTACAATAGGATTTTCTTTTTTACAAATGGATTCGTGGAATCCGTTTGAATTGATCAATTTTTTAAAAACAAGTTTTTCAAATACAATGATACAATAATACATAGGCTGCGTTTGGATTGAGTGTTTTTGCACCTGTTTTTGAAAAACTGTTTTTCACATTCCAAATGCTACAGTAATGTGTATTTCAAAAACAACTTCAAAAATAATAACTAAAAAAACATCCTATCCATACAATATATTAAATATTTCAAAAAAAATTTATAGTAAAAATTTTTCATATACACTATTACAGTAAAATTTTTCAAAAACAGCTTAAAAAACAACTAATTCAAACGGAGCCGATATCGTAACAAATAATAGAACAAAGTCGTAAGGAAATTGCCTAGAATATGTGGTCTTGTAAGGAAAATTGGAAAATATTGATAAAAAAGAAAAAGAAAAAAATATTTATCTGTGGAATACATCTATTTGCTCTAGTTACCAATTAGAGTTGAATTGTTCGCATTGATGCGGAAGTTTTAGAGGTTAATTTCTCTAATACATCGTGCGAGGACGTTGGTCTCTTTACACAAAATACACCAATTGGTAACATTTTTTTAATCCATTTACCTCTCTCCACATCCTTTTTATCTCCAACCGTTAGTTACACGATTTGAACCCTTTCAACTATAAACTTTAATGATAAAAACTCTAAAAGCTTTCTCCTTAATTAGTGTTGTATTTTTATACTAAAGATTGGTGTAAATCAAATAATCTAATCTGCACATTCATTTATCCAATTCCTTTTTGTCTAGCTCACTCCTTGATCCACAGCCCCTCTTGATGAGAAATTCCTGTATTTTTAGTTGAGTGGGCTTGTTTATTCAAGTTCCATTTGACAAATCATTTAGTTTATTATGCCATTGATTTTATGTGATCATCGTGATTTCTATTAGGTGAATAGACTTGACTTTATTACACTGAATATTATGGTGTAAATTGCAATGTTGATTCTTAAGTACTTCACAACAAAATGAGACCGCAATTAGTATACTGGACATGTAGATATATGGACCATATTCGCTACCTTTGCTTAAAATGACACAAATAGCTCTTGTTATATGTCTATGACAAAAATATCATGATGATAAATCGGCATTGGCAAATCAGAACTTGAGATTTTAGAGAGTAAAAGAAGCAAAATTAGTAAAGAAATATACTTGAAGTGGGGCAATCTTACGTTTTGTAAAAAACTTGTGAGACACAGTTTAATATTTTCAAGGAGATAAGTAAAAAAATTTTTTTTTTTTTTTTTTTTAAAAGCAACATTTTTTTGGACACTTGAATAGTACAAAAAGATTTCTAAAATCTTAGGGGAACAAAGTTTAATTTTTCTGACTTTGGCTATGCCTTTATGCCTTTGCTGGTGTGATCTTCTTCAGCCCAGCGGCGGTTCCCACAGCACATTACTGATTCCCAGCAGCAGCACCAGATCAGTTCACGATTAAGTCGTCGCGTATGACGAGTTATCCCCGTTAGCTTACAAAATATCTTCATGCAATCTGCACATTACTGGTCAAGTAGCCCTTTTTTTCTTTTTTTCTTTTTAATAATATCCTCCTGGTGCTCCAGTAATGTTGGTCATGTTCTTGGCCTTTCGTTGATTTCTCGGAATTTGTAATATGGAATTATGGATTCAACTGTTAAATTTTTGTATACATAGATTCACTAATTGACTATTCCACGGTCAGTGACTGTAAGAAAGAAAAATAAACAAAAGGATCACGGAGAATCAGAGGAAGTGGTAGTGGTGGTTTGCGGTGGTTTTTGGAATTGAGGTGGCTGAGATCGGTCGGTTTTGATTTTGGAGTTGGGTAACGGCGTGGTGGAGTTTGAGGTGGCTCATGGTTGTTGAAGGGAGGGTGGTGGCGTCGACGTTTGCAGGAGCGGAAGATGTAAATTTTTCTTCAGAGGGGACGATATCCATTTTTTCATAATGAATTGGAAATGGGGCAAAATGAAGTTAATGCCGCGATTGATATAAGATTGTCCTTGACAATTAGGATGACTTTGGCGTATTAGAAAATTAAACCTTTTTCCATTTTTTGGTAATAAAAGCTTAATAGGATAATAGCATAGATTAAAAAAGAAAAAAAAAAAGGGGAAAGCTTTACATCCTGAGAACATTCTAGGGAAACATCAAACATGCTCCGTCAAATCTTCACAAAATATATTTTTATTATTTCCTAAGTTAGGAAGCAAAAAGTGTGTAAGCAAAAGCTTCCGCGCAAATAAACCAAATATAAATAATAAATAATGCGACAACAAAGTAGACTTTTTGAACTGAGTACCTACTGGTAGCTCTTAGCATCACTTTGAAAGCAAAGTCAAACCAGATCAAAGGCATCACCCAACAACTTGACACGACAAAGATACCACTTACGGTCTGGGGGCAGAATTATACGTACATGATATAATAAGATAGATTATTTTTTCATACATAACAACAACATAATATTACTGCTACATAATACAAACGCTAGCGCCGGAGCGGGGGCTTCCTTAAAAAGCAAGAGTAGTTGTTTCTTCCGGCCTAATTGGCGTAGAAGCTAGCACCAGGCCTTGGCTCGAAGTCTTTCGTGAAAGTTTTTTCTTCCTTCTTCTTCAATTTAGCATCATCTCCATAGGCGGATAAGTTGGGTCTTGGTTCGAAGTCTGTGGCAAAGACGGACTTCTTGTTGTTTGCAGCTTCTGCTACAGAATCCTTTTTGTTGGAAGTGTGACAATCACTAGCAGTCGTAATTTTCTTCGTGTCGGAGAGGGTGGAATCTATGCGGACAAGGTGCGGAATTGCTTCCAACAGAGCCTGATCATTTCTAGCAGCAACACCTTGCCAGTACTCTCCAGGGTCTTTTCTTGCTTCTGTGATGCCCGCAAACTGCAAGATTTTTGTTAACAACAAACATATTAGTGGCTCGATTCTTCTATCATTAATTTTCACTTTTCAGTTCCTACTGGTCTAACGTTTAATCAACTAGCTAGCTTCACAATCCTTTTCAGTTCTCGATCTAGCACTGGCTACAAACCCACTGGGATTCACATAACGAATTTCATTACAAGTACCAGAAAGAAATCCGTTCATGCTACCGGTCTGCACTTAAAAAAACTGTACAATTTGTTAGAGCAGCTTTTACGAGAGTCAAGGGAGATGGTTAGTTAATTACTAGCAATGAGCTTCTTACCAGGACCAGCGAGATGAGAGCGATGAGTGCAACAGGTGAAGCCATCTTTCTTGTCCTCAAATTGCCTCCACAGCCTGGTTGTCCCTTGACTTGCTACTTATAAAGAGAGAATTGCTAGTGCATTGTTTGGATTGTTTTTTTTTTTTTCCCCCCAAAAAAGTTACGTTTTTTGCGAACTAGCATTGCTTGGATGTATTTTTTGCGAAAAAAATTTACGCTTTTTATGAATACATTTTTCAATCATTTTTTTATCTCATATAAATTAAATCATTAGTCTCGTAGTCATTTATCATGTAGGAAGTCAATCAGTAGCAATAAGTAATGATAAAATACAACCACAAGATATTTTCAGTGATTTTTCCACATATGGGAGGTCACCATTAAACCTTATGTCATGACACTCTTTATTGATTTAATTGTAGGGTAGATATATTTTACTCTCTTTTAGTTAAATAAATAAAAGGGGACAAAGAGCGAAATGTGATGTTTTTGTTTTTGTTTTTTGTTTTTATAGAAAGATCGTTTCATTCAAACAAATATGCACTAATGGCAGAAAATATATCAAACAAATATGACACAAATACATATAGATCTGAAATCAATAGATATAACAGATCTAAAAAAATAATACAAATAAAAATGACATTGATACTCCTGTATATCTTCCATTCGAATGAATCATTGTAACCCAATACATCAGTACATGTGTGCTGACAATCATATCTGATTAAAATTGGTTCAAATCCAAAGAGAAATTTAGATCTGACAATAATGAAAAAATTGCAGATCTAATAAACCAGATTCTAGATTTACAAAATCTCAAATTTCACAAAGATAAAAATCTAAAAAACTCTCATAAGAAAAAAACTCAGAAGAAAATAAAATTCTCGTTAGAACAATTTAGAAAAGAAAAACTCTCACTAGGAGATCCTAGAAGAGAATAATCTCTCATCAGATAATCTTAGGAGAGAATTTATTCAAATAAGAGAAATAAAAAAGTATAAATAGTACTTCCTCCCATGGAAAAATATCAGTTTTGATATCTCTTCCATGGGAGAGATGAAGAATATCTTGACTGGAAGAGTTCTAAAGAGAAGGGAGAGAAAAGAGTTTTTACCTCTCTCCTGATTTGACACTTTTAATTGATGAACTAGCATTGTTTGCATTGTATTTTTCCAAAAAAAATTTTTGTGTCTTTTGTAAATGTATGTTTCAATCATTTTTTTTTATTTCGTATACATTAAATCATTAGTTGTGTAGTCATTTATCATGGGGGATGTCAATCAGCAGCAATGGGTAATGATAAAATACGGCCAAAAG